TTCTCCTTCTTTCTCCTCCTCCTTTCTCCTCCTCCTCCTTCCTCCTCGGCTTACAACAGTTCCTTTAGTGACCAAAGTTGCAACTACACTGCAAAAAAGTGACTGACGACCGTTTTCCACACTTTCGCAGCATCCCCATGACCACGAGATCAAAATTCAGACGCTTGGCAACTGGTTCATATTTATGACCATTGCAGTGTCCTAATCCCCCTTTGTGACCTTCTGATGAGCAGAGCCTATGGGGCAGCCAGGTTCACTTAACAACCGTATATGACTAATTTAACAACGGAAGCGATTCACTTAATGGCGGCAAGAAAGGTTGTTAAAATGGGGCAAACTTGCTTAGTAGCCATCTTGCTTAGCAACAGAAATGTTGGGCTTGATTGTGGCCGTAAACCGAGGACCACCTGTGTATACACCTGGTAGAAGTTGCAGACCCAGGTTTTTGGAGTGGCTGTTTTCAGGGCCTGATTCCTGGATCGGTGATCCCCCTGCAGACTTTCAACAAGGCGGTGGGATTCTTCAGCCAATCCTGTTTCCATTTCCGCACTTCCCAAGCGTTGACCGGCACCTCGGAGGGGAAGCTAGTGGTCTGGGACACCGTTTGCACGCCCTTGCAAACTAGGTGTGACCGACTGTACAACATAAAAGCCATCAAGCTGGTGCATCTACAGAAAGATGCCATCACCGTCCTGGTCATCATGGACGAGTAAGCGGGTCACGACATAATGACGGGAATAAGTGGAGGACTTACCCTAAACCCAGGGGAAAACGGTGGTATAGTTAAAATGCTATTTTCCTCTTTTGGCCAGCAGAGGGTGCTGCAGCTAAGCTCACCATCCCTCTTTGCACCTGTTCTGCGTTTGGAGAGCAGGCGGCCCAGTAAAAAAAAACCCTGCTCAGCGCAATTCACAGAACTGAATTTTTTATTTTATTTTTCAATATTTATATTGTCAAATTCCAGCCCCCAAACAGGCGCTTCTTGAGGCCTGGTGGGCTGGAAAGTAGGGGGGGAAAAAAGCCCGACTTCTTTATCCTTTGATCTTCTTCCCAGGTTGTTCGTGACCTGCGACGTCAAAGGCCACATTAAATTCTACGACGGGGACCTGCAGCTGACGCACTGGTACAGCCAGTTCAAACTGGGACCCATCCGGTCTTTCTCCTTCTCCAAGAAACCTGCCTCCCCTGAAGACGTCACCAAGTACCCCGAATCGTGCACCTTGTCTGGAAAACCCTTCATTGTTAGGTGAGCGGATCTCGGCGCCCCGTAGATATATATATATATGTTTTTTAAATCCTGTTGGCCATGATGGGGGTTGAATGAATGGAACACCCCCTCACCCACCTCCCCCGCAGTCTTGGGGAAAAGAACCCAAATTTCTTTTGGGTTGGAGGTCCAACATTTGCAACCTTTTGCTCCCTGAGGCAGGAATTTCATCCTGGCGACCTCGGATGCGGTGGTGATTCACGTCAAGACAGAAGGAACTCAAGTCACCAAGTGCCTGGAGGAACCCAAGGACCCTGTCCACACCGTCGTCTGCCACCCTTGCAAACCCCTGCTAGCCAAGGGCAGCTACTGTGGCCTTCTGAAAGTCTGGAGCTACCTCCTCAACAAATACCTGGTCAGCCGGATCTTTAAGGGTGAAAGCATCAGCTGCCTCTCTTACAATCATGATGGTAATCGTCCACCCGTCCTCGTGTTTTGGTTCTTTGACTGTTTTATTTCCAAGGTCATAAATAACAGTTTCTTATGTTTTTGCTGTATATTTTCTCCTGGAAAGGCTGTAAGGTTGTCAGAGTTGCAAGTAAATACACCCATAGCAAAGAGAACTCGGAGGCAGGCAAATTCCTCAAAGAACAATATATTAGGACATATCATATTGGCCCAAACCGGACTCTGGATATTCCCGCGGTTAGGGTTAGGCATTTATTTAAAGCTTAAAACTCCCTTGCAGCTCAAATCTGTCTACTGCTGATTGCTAAAATGCTACAGCAGAGGTCTCCAAGCTTGGCAACTTTAAGACTTGTGGATTTCAACTCCAAGAATTCCTCGCTGGCTGAGGAATTCTGGGAGTTGAAGTCCACAAATCTTAAAAGTTGCCAAGTTTTTGGACCCCGTGCTACAGGATCCTTTGGAGAGCAATGGTACCTTTTAAGCAGAAGCTACCTGTGCCTGTAGTTTTGTCCTTTGATGGTATCCTACCTCAGGATAATGCTTTCATGGGCCTGTCCTCCATAAATGATCAGTGATGGTCTACTAAAGAAGGACCGTCCCGCATGGTGGACACTCAAAGTTATTTGAGGTCGTTTTGGAGAAACTTCATGGAAAGATTTGGTTATGAGGACTGTCATGGCTTATGAGCAAACAGAGTCTCAATAATGTCCAGAACTTTATCGGATTTTGGACCAACAGGTTCTTTTTTTTTAATGTGCATCTTAGGTTCTTTGCTAGCTGCTGGATTTCTGAATGGATGTCTTTATATCCTTGATTCCATCTCTTTGGAAAACGACCATCCAGACCCTTTCCAGTACTCAAAAGGACCCATCACCATCATGAGCTTCTCCCACAATTCTGAATATCTCGCCACTGCTGTGAGTAGTGACCAACTTTCTCTGTGTCCTTGTCCCACTTCTGTATCCTACAGGCCACCCGTGGTTCTGGCTCTTAACCTCGTGGTTATTATTACCTTTATTGTCAGAGTACAACATGCACAATGAGATTGGCTGAGCCTCCCTTTGTGCACCCCTCCCAACACAACTCTCAGGAAGGACAGAAGTCCCTAACCCAGTCCCAATCTTATTACACTAGGTGACCTCGTAGCTGTCGGCGAAATAATGTTTTCTCAAAATGGGCAACTTGAAAATGTGTGAACATCAACTTCCACAATACTGGTTTTTCTTCCTGGTCGGTTTTTCTTGTCTTTCAGGATGAAAACTTGTCGTTGAATGTTTACAAAAAAATTGCCGTGGAGGAAAAGAAAGTCTGGGACCGCCTGGCTGCCCTCCACTCCCACTACAAACCGATTCGCACCCTTCTTTTTGGGGTATACCTAGATAGTAGTGAGCCAAGGCTCTTAAGTCTCGGAGAAGACCGGCTCTTGGTAAGTCCAGGGGTTGGGCACACTTGGTAAAAATTGGAACACCTGACTGGAGTCTCTGCCTGGAAAAGTTTCAGGATCAGCAATCCTTGGGAGTTGTTCATTCAGGTTGGCCTAGAGTCAAAGGAGGACAAGATGGGAATCAGGAGGATTCTGGATCCGTAGCGAGATATGGCCACCAAGTCCCAACCTCAGCAGGAAGACTTGGTTGCCTTTTGAGTTGGGTACAAGTGGCCAACACCTAGGTCAACATGTGGGCCAACTCAGTTGGATGAGTGGTGGTCCATTTGCCAAATCAACAGTTAGACCCAGTGATGCCACTCTGAAACGTCTCCCTGAAGAACAACCAAGCCAAGACTAGTTGGTGTGATTCTTGGATCTGCGTTGCTTGGTTTTTCAGGTGGAATATGACTTGGCGAATATCGTCAAAGACAAACTGGAGGTAATCCGAAGAGACCGGATTGAGCAGAGCGCGGTCCCTACGTACATCGCTTGGTATCCCCCAATCACCACCGAGTACTTTTTCCTCACTGCCAACAATCACTACAAAATGAAGCTTTATAACGTGACCACCAAGTTGTGCAGGTGAGGAGAACTCACCTGGGGAGAATCCCTGCATGCGTGGATGTCTGCAAAGGGTCAGGCTCTGTCCTGTAAGGAGGTGGGGTTGGACTAGGAGTGGGAGACCCCCTCAGTCACAGACACACACAGTGAGTAACTTTGGGCTGGCATCTCCTCCAGGCAATAGACCCCCATGGGGTTGTCCTTGTAGAAGAAGAAAGAGAGCTGGAACTTGGGTTTCTGAAGAAAAGGTGAAATATAATTGTGTTGGTTGGTTAGGTTGGTTGGTTGGTTGGTTGGTTGGTTGGTTAGGTTGGTTGGTTGGTTGGTTGGTTGGTTGGTTGGTTAGGTTGGTTGGATGGATGGATGGATGGATGGATGGATGGAGAAAGAGAGAGAGAGATAAATAGAAGATAGATAAGTGTTTTTCAACCTTGTCAACTTTAAGATGGGTGGACTTCAACCCAACCAACTAAGCTACGCTGGCTGGGAAATTCTGGGAGTTGAAGTCCACCCATCTTAAAGTTGACAAGGTTGGAAATCATTGAGATAGATAGAAGTTGATAGACTGATTAGATAGATTGATCTGTGGCAGTCTTCCAACAACCACAGTCCGAGATCTTATTCTCACTGTCCTGATTTGGTTCCGAAAAACACTTAAGATGTAATTTGGTTAAATTGCCTTTAGCCATGTCACTTCTCTAGACCCCAATATTATGGTTTGTAAACTGATTTCCAGCTTAGATTTTGAGCCAACTCAGATAACTCCTGCCTTATCAAGTCCAAGTCTACCAACCATGACTTAGGGAAGGTTCTTCCTTGGGGCGGTATGGCAACAGAGCCAACGGGAGAAGGATCTGTGCTTGGAATGCATTGGTTGGGCTGTCAGGCTTTTTCATGACATGCTTGTTTTAGGAAGACCGCCTTGGGACCTACCTATGGTTCTCCTCTTCAGAAGTTTGCCATTCTTCCTTTGGGTGAGGACCAGGAGTCTCAGAAACGCTACATGGCCTACATCACAGAAGACAAGGTACTGGAGGTGACGTGAAGGTACCTTTCCTTTGCGTCTTCAAATTCCTCCAAGCAGGGCTGGAGAGAAACTGGTCTTCCTCTCCATCTTCTCCTCTAGGTTGGCCTCCAGATCTTGCCCGTCGATGGGAACCCGCACAAGTCCTCGGCATTCATTTGCCACCCTACAGGGGTGGCCGACCTCACCTGCTCCTACACCGGACACTACCTCTTCACGGCAGGGGGCAGCGACTCGACGGTGATGAAGTGGGACGTGAATCTCAAGTAAGTGTGAGGGCTCCTTTGAGGGGAGGGAGGTAAGCCCCGGCTGGCTGGGGAATTCTGGGAGTTGAAGTCCACCCATCTTCCAAGTTTCCAAGGTTGAGAAACACGGAGCTAGAGATTAGGTTTGCTCAGTTCCTCCAAGGTGGGGGATGGTTTGATTTCTTTCTGGCAGAGGGGAGGCAGGTGAGGAACCAAGAGCTTCTCTGCAGGGTTATTTATTTGTTTGTTTGTTTATTTATGAATTTATTTATTGAATTTATTTATTTAGTTTATATTGCCACCTATTTGCCCATGGTGACTCGAGGTGGCTTACAGAATGTAAAACCATCTTTAAAACAAACAAAACTGTCAGTGTTCCAGAAAACTTCCACTCCAACCAATAACTCCAAGAGACAGTTCTCAAAAGTTCTGTTTTATTTGGATAGTAAACTGGCCCAACTGGGGAAACCCGAATCTGAAAGTTCCGGGCTTCCTTGTAAGAAGTAAAAACTACAAATCCACCCCCTGCACCCACCATCGCATCACATGCCCCGATCACCATCCATCCCAACTTGAGACATTCCCTCACTCAGGTGCAGAAATAACATGACCTTGACTTAGGAAAAGAATGTTATTATGTCTAACTACATACACTCCAAGGAATTCCTCCCCCCTCCCATTTTCCCAGGCTCAAAATGTGGCAGTGTGGGAGCAACTGTTCTCAATATGGCTTCCAAAGCTGACACAAACAAACACACAAACAAAAACAATAAAAGCTAACAAAAAGAATCAAATAAATTTTGACCAGGGTACCCCCCCCCCCCACACCCTGCCTCTTTCTCCAGCGCTCTGGATGCCGCCGTCTTCCTGGGTGGCAAAGACCTGATACCATTTTACAACCTGTTGGAAGGAGGCAGGGATGGTGCGTTTTTCAAGGTAAACCTGCTCGGTTTGGCTTGGTCCAGGTAACAACCCCCAAAAAACACACACCCCGACACAAACAAGCGGCCGTAAAATAGAGGGATTCAGAAAATAAAACCCTTTCTGAGAGGATGTGGGGAGGAAAGGGACACTAAAGGCTGATAGAGACAGACGCCAAATGTTGTATTAGAGGGAATCCTCAACCTACAACATTCATTTAGTGACTGTTTGAACTTACAGCGGCACTGAAAAATGTGATCCTTTCTACACGTTCAGGAGCTGGAAGATTATTTTTACTACGTCCAGCTGGTCCATCAAGGCATCAACACCATGGAGCCTAGGATGGTTTCTACACACATCCCCTTGGAACAGGTCCCCTTTGTGATCCGGGCGATGGGGTTCTACCCCTCCGAGGATCAGGTCAGTGGGTTTTCAGGGGGTGGGATGGGGGTCTCAGGGGGTGGGTGAGAAGGATCCTTAAGCATCTTGTTTGACCTCTGAAACCCAGCGACTTCTTGCTCCTGACTTCTAACAGTTCCTCAGCCCTAGTTCCTCAATCTTTGGTTTGGAAGGATGTCTCCAACCACAGTTTGGAACTTGTGGGAATGGTGGTTTTTTTTGTTTGTTTTTTTAACCAGGCTGGCCAGGATTGCAAATTAGAGGAAGTTCTGCAAACTGGGTTTGAAAGATGGCCAAAGGGGACGCTTTCCCTCCTTCTTTCTGCTTGTCAAAGCATTCCTGTGGCAACACGGTTGAAAATCATTTGTGTTTATTTAACCTGTTTTCCCGAAAACACAACCTACCCTAAAATTAAGTCCTAGCTTGATTTTTACACGTGCGCCCAATATAAGCCCTACCCCCCAAAATAAGCCCTAATTAAGATCCTGCCCTCTCCAAAGTGGATGGGTAAAAATTAAGCTAGGGTGGGGAATGGGGGGGGGGGGGTGGAGCTGCCCTACTACTTACCTTTGGACAGGTGTAGCTAGGCCTCGCACCCTCTGATACTTGCCTCACCAGCCCATTTCTTCTGCAGCCAGCAAGGCTTTCCTGAAGGCCTCTGTAGCTGGTAACAAAGCTCTGGATCGATCCAGAGCTCTGTTACTGGCTGCAGAGGCCTTCCGGAAAGTCTTGCCAGCCACAGAAGAAGTTTCTGAAGGTCTCTGACAGCGAAAAGGAGGCCGGGGGCAATGTGCACCAGTGAGATTAGTCAGTGGGTCACATCCCCTGAAAATAAGACCCGGTGCCGTTTTTGGTGGCAAAAATAAAATAACACAAGGTCTTTTGGGGGGAACACGGTATTGGATTTAGAGTGGAGGTGTCCAAGCTTGGCAACTTGAAGACCTGTGAACTTTAACTTTCTGTCTGGGGAATTCTGGGAGTCGAAGTCCACAAGTCTTCAAGTTGCCAAGTTTGGACACCCCTGATATAGAGGCTGCCCAGCTGCCCAATGTTAAAACCCCAAGCAGAGGCCTTGTGTATCTGGAAAAGACAATCCCTCAAGCAAATGTTAATTTATTCTTTAAACTTATTTGCTTCCCATCTCACCATGAATCTGGCCATCTTACGATGTTAGAAGGAATAAAACAATACAAAAAAGCAAGACAGATATGCTAAGAATACTCCAAGAATAAAACACTAGGAAAATAAAATTAGCAGCCAATGAAATCTCCTTGGGGCTCGGCATCCATCCTACACGGCCAGGTTTTGAAAAATTCCCCCGATCTGATGAAGGTGGCACCTCGTTTTTCCCTCGTTTTAGATTGAAGACATGCTGAACGAAGTCAAATTCGGTGAGTTTTTGGATACTGGGAAGCAGGTCACCCATATTAATTTAGGGGACTTCATCAAACTCTACGTGAACCATCGGCCTGCCTTTGGGCTGGCCTCGCAGGAAATTCAGCAGGCCTTCGAAATGTTGGGCTATGAGAACAAGGACCACGAAGCCACCATCAACCGAGATGACCTGCTGTTGTTGCTGCAACACAAAGGTGTGTGTGTGTGTGTACTATTGACTAAAAAAATACTTCTTTGGTCTTTTTAGTTGCCAGTAGAAAGGGAGGGGGGAAAGTAGTGCATTCCTTAAATGCTTCAGATAATTGCTGGGCAGCCAAAGCTGTTGGCACGCAAGATGATTACTGGAGAGCCTGATTGATGATTCTTGGGCTATGGAGAATATACATCCAGGGGGTGGAGGGAAGACCAGGGTCAAGGTGAAATGAATGATGGTTCTTAGAGTCGGCTGCCCCCAGGTAACGCCGACATGGTCACTTCTAATAAATATTTTTTTTTTTAACTCTGACAGATGTGGCTAGAGACTCGTGATTTGAATGGGGGTGGTTTGTTGGAGCCTTGACATGCGCGTTGAGCATGCAAGATCTTAGGAAGTAGATGGTTCTTTTCAGGTCAGGTGACCGTTGTGCTTTCTTGTTTTTTTTTTTTGTTTTTTTTTTGATCAGGGGAACATTTCACCGAAGAAGAGCTGGCCGAGTATCTCACCACACTTCTGGGCTTCAACCCTGAGGGCGGCCGTGTGGAGCTGGGCAGCTACGATCCCTCAGGTGCTGAACCCTAAACCCCTCTTGCAAAAAAGGGGGGGGGATCCTTGGCGCTTTGTGGGTGCCTGGTCTGATTCCACACCTCTGCAGGCAAAAGTCCTCGACTTAACAGCTGGTAATGGAACCTTCTCCATTAGAGTTGTAAATTACGACAAAAACGTGAAGATGGGGCCACCCACACGACCGACCTGATTTTGGGACCTTTAAAGTGATCTTGTAGATTCCTTGCATGGTTTCCAGGTGGCACCAATTCCTAGCATCCATTCTCTTTTGCAGGTTCAGAGGACGTAATTCAGGAAGAAATCCCCGAGGAAGTGACAGCAGCTTACTTCACCAAGGAGATCCTGGCCTTACCGTTGCCAGAACCGACGGACGTGGCGACGGAGGCGCAAACCCCCGACGAGGCCATGAATGGCAGTTTATCGTCCCTGAAGGCTTCATGATTTGCATTCTCGGTCTTTTTTGCCTTGGATTGTCTCCCGTCCTCAGATTTACGACTGATCGTTTTTGAAAAACAAACATTTAGTTTCAATGTCATGGGAAATAAAGTTTTGAGGATTTTTATTTTTAAAGAAAAAACACTCGTTGCAGACTTTGTATTTATAAAGCCCTGGGAAGTTCTTGCCACTCATCCCAAATGAGAAGGGCCGAAACAGGTTTCCCAGATCTTTTGAGAGGTGGTCCCTGTCTTAAAAAACATTCATTTAGTGACTGTTTAAAATTACAATGGTCCTGAAAAAAGTTGCCTAGCAACCACCTGGTTTAGCAATAAAATCCATGCTGTCTGGGGAATTCTGGGAGTTGAATTCCAGCCATTCTAAAGTTCTGGTTGGGAAACACTACAAATTTCATAAACAAACAAAAACATCCCTATTCTGAGGAAGGAATCCCTGCTTCTATTTTCTTTCCTCCCCTCTCTCCCTGTCTCTCTCATCTATCTCTATCTACCTACCTCTCTCTCTCTAATCTATGTATCTCTCCTTAATCTCTATCATCTAATCTACCTATCTCTCTATGTATTTCTCTCTAAATCTCTTATTTATATCTATCTATCTATCTATCTATCTATCTATCTATCTATCTATCTATCTATCTATCTATCTATCCCTATCTATGTATCTCTCTTTAACCTCTATCATCTATATCTAACTATCTCTATGTATCTCTCTAAATCTTAACATCTATCTATCTCTATCTATTTCTAATCTATATCTCTCTAATCTTTATCATCCATATCTACCTATCCCTCTATGTCTCTAACCTCTGTCATCTATATCTAACTATATGTATCTCTCTAAATCTTACATCTATCTCTACCTATTTCTAATCTATATCTCTCTAATCTTTATCATCCATATCTACCTATCTCTCTATGTATCTCTCTCTAAATCTCTTACATCCATCCATCCATCTATCATCTATATCTACCTATCTCTATATCTAATCTATGTATCTCTCTCTAAATCTATATCTCTACCTATCTCTATGTGTATCTAATCTCTATCATCTATACTTATCTCTATCTAATGTATATATATCTCTAAATCTCTTATCTCTGATCTATTTCTCCCTATCTCTCTAATCTCTATATCTACCCATCTCTCTCTAATCTATCTAGACAGTGAGAACAGTCAACCAATGAAACTTTCAAAAAGAGATTGGACTCCCATCTGTCAGAAAGGGTGTAGGGTCTCCTGTTTGGGCTGGAGGTTAGACTAGATGACCTACAAGGTCCCTTCCAACTGATTATCTGATCTCTAGTCTATCTCTACCTATGTCTCCCTCTAATCTCTCTCATCTATATCTACCTATCTCTCTCTAATCTATCCTATGTAGCTAAATCTCTTACGCCTAGTTACCTATCTCTATGGATCTCTCTCTAATCTCTATCCTCTCTCTTATCTACAATCTATCTCTCTCCTCTCGTGTCACGGCTAAAAACCAATACAAAGCAGCCAGTCTTTTTATTTTTAATAATATATTTTATTTTTTATTTTGTTTATTAAACTTCTATGCCGCCGCGGACGGCATTGGCCGAGGGAGAGAAAGGTGGTTCAGGAGGGACCACGAAGCCCATCTTCCACTCCGCTCTTCCCGTCGGCGGCCGCGCTGACAGAAAAGGGCGGGAACGCCCCGGCCCCTCCCCTCCTCCAACCCTCACCCCCACCAGCGCGAGCCGGGGCGGGGATCGGCGCCTGCGCGTCGTGTCCCGCGCCTGCGCAGTGCGCTCCGCCCGCCTCTCCCGCCCACCGCCTCGGCTGGCCTCCCTGGCGGCCTCGGGGCCTTTCTTCCCTCCTTCGAGGCGGGGCGGAGCCGGCCGGGAGGCTTCATTGTGCGTCCGGGCGCCGCCGCCGCCGCCGCCGCCAGCCAGGCCGGGCCTCCCTCTCCTCCTCCTCCTCCAGCTGCTTCTGCCCTTCCTCGTCCCCTCAGCTGCCGAGCAGAGCCGGCGCGCCGGCGCCTCAGTCCGGGTCCCTCCGCCGCCGCCACCTCAGCAGCATGTCGGGCCGGTCGGTGCGGGCCGAGACCCGCAGCCGCGCCAAGGATGATATCAAGCGGGTGATGGCGGCCATCGAGAAAGTGCGCAAATGGTGAGGAAGGGGCTCGGGTGGGGTGGGGGGCTCGGGGCGGGGGGGAGTCTCCCCACCACGGAAGACCCCCGACCCGCCTCAGAAGGGGCTCTTGTGGGCCTCGGGAGCGGCGACCCGGGGCTCTGGACTACAACTCCCATCGGCCCTTGGCCGGCTGCGAGGGATGATGGGAGTTGAAGTCCTCCTGTTCTCTCCCCACTTTGGAAGCCCGGATTCCGCCTCCCTTTGGGGCGGGAGGGGGGAGGTTTGTTTCTCTGTTCGTGGCCCCCCTCTGAGCCGTTTTTTTGGGGGGGAGGGGATGCCCCCCTCGTGGCATGGCCCCACCCCCACCCTGGCCACGAATCCACGTGGCTTCCCTCTGGTGGGAGCCCCTCCCCTGGCCTCGACCCTCTCTCCTGCCCAGCTGTTGGTCCAAGGGGTCTTGCTCCCTGGGCCCTTCCTGAAGGTGCTGGACAGCACTTGGATGGCCTCTGAAGGACGGAGTAGTCAGGCCACAGGCTCCCCAAGGGTCCCAGTAGAAGAGAAGGCTGAAAGGGCTGTGGGGTCCTTGGTGGTTTTCATGCGGGCGTCTCCTGACTCGGCTAGGTCACATCATCAGTGCTAGAAGGGAGTGGGGCTTTGTGGAGAGGAGGATGAGGAGGACTATGGGGCCCTTAGTGCTCTCTGCGCTTCTTTTCTTGCTGACGTCTCATGACCCGACTGGGTAATATCATCAGTGCTAGAAGGGAGTGGGGTATGTGGAGGATTGTGGGGTCCTTGTTGCTCTTTGAGCTTAGTGGTTTTCTTGCAGACGTTTCATTATCCACCTAGGGAGCATCATCAGTGCAAGGGAATGTAGCGAACCTCACTCCTCTGCACTGATGATATTCCCTAGTTGGGTCATGAAATGTCTGTAAAACAACAACCACAGAACACCAAGGGCCCCACTCTATATAAAGTTGGTTTTTGGGGAGGGTACCGCCCAGCTATATTGGGATATTCTCGGCTGCCGATGCTGAATAGTGAATGTGTGGTTTTCACCACGCAAGACATACTTTCTCATTAAGGTGTGACTTCGCTATGTTCTCTATGAGTTGTCCTGCTTCCTGCCATTGGCGTTCAGGATGCATTTCTCTGGTGTGTCCTGTTCCTTCTCCCACCCCTTTAATTGTTAGCTTAGGATATTCTTTAAAATGTCCAAAGTATTTATGATACAATATTCTTTTGAGAACTGCTTTGTTCTTTTAATTCTGTGCTTCAAGTCAAAACTTGCATTTCTTGTATTGTTCTGTTGATTTAAATTCTGAGCAGAACCAGAAAGAAGCTACTTGAATTTGTCTGATATAATTATATTTTTGTAACTTTGGTAAATCCATCCTTTTTTATTGAATATTTGCAGCATGTAACAATTGCATGCTTTTGAGAAAGGTTGTGTGACTTTTATTGTGGAATTTTGTATGGCATAATTGAACATAATACAGTGAAATGGTTATTCAGACACAGTAAGCAATCATTGTGCAGTTTGGTATTTCTGGATCAGATGACATCTTAAAATGTTCTTCAAGATAAGTTTAAACAACTTCATTCAGTTGCATTATGCCTTTGCACAATCGATTCCAGTTCTTAAATTGCAATTTTTCTAGGTGATTGTTAAAAACAAGCAGATCTTAAAAGAAACACTTTCTCTTACAGAACAGTTGATTACAGTTTTTTTAAAAAAATATAATTTAATCGAGAGAGCAATCTATCTTGCGTTCTGCAAGGAATCAAGATGCTTTCTCGCCCTCCCAATAGAGAAATTTCAAACAAGAAAAACAGACACTCAATGAGCTTATTTAGAAACGAGAGAATTGATGCTTTGCTGGTTTTGCATGGTCCTTGATTCCCCGTGATAAAGGGAAGGAGAAAATACCAATCTTTCTTTCTGCTTAACAAACAAACCAAAACTTTTGGCTAGTGTTTTCAGTTGCTATAGTAACTGAGCAGGTGATCCTAGTATAGTAGCTCATTCCTTCCAAAGGAGATTGTTGATGATCCTGACATTTGAAAAAAATTGTTCAAGCCAGTAATTTCTCTCTCTCTCTGCAGGGACATTGGATTTATTTCTTCCTAATAAGTCAATCAAACTGTTCAGCTTGTCTTCTTGGAGGACAAAAGACCAGTTATCTGCTTGTAAATGTATAATGATGAATTGATGAGAACATCAATGTTCCAATTTCGGTATTTTTTAGTGGAAATTTTGGCACGAAATTAAAGCTACACCAAATTGCATTGAAAGTCTGTCTGTAGAAATGTGCTATTATGTTAAATAGCACAATAGAAGCCAACTTGTACCAAATATTCCAGGCAATACAAAATGTGATTAAATCAGAACTGAAGAAGCCCATCCTTCAGGTTACTCAGAAATTCAAGCATAAAATTGTGAACAATTTTGATTTCTGAAGTTGTGATATGGCATCATTTCGTTTTCTTACTGGGCGTGATGAATTTTAAGTGTTTTCTGTGGTGGCTTATATTGATTTCTGTGTGCTTAGACATTTCCACAAGCATAATATAAGTCAGTGTGTACGATTTGCAAGATGAGGTTCAAGCATTGTAAGTGTTAGAATTGCTTGGATCAAAGCTGTATTTAGTTGCAATTAAAATTGCAGAGTGCTTGAGTCTTATTTTTTTGTAGGTGATGAATTTTCCATCTGTAATAATTAGAAAAATATTTTAACAATTACAGGTGGAGTGATGAGTTTATGGGTAATTCTTGTTCCCCCTCCAATTATTTTGATCAACTGAGTGGCAACGTAAAAGAGTTGGGGATTGTGCATATGCTAATTTTATGGGGGGAAATCCTTGGGACTTCCTAATTAGTATAGCTAGAGTTTGGGCTGTTGCCACTATTCCTTATTCACTTGGCAGAAGCAATCCGAGAGGTTTCATAGCTCCAGGGTTTGGGCTTTACAGATCCAAAATAAGATGATTGTTTCATAATTCCAGTCATTCCCAGGGGGAAAGTTAAAGGCAATGGGTTTGAAAACAATACTGTATAACAGACAGCCTTCGTGGGAAATATTTATATCTGGCAGCAGTTCACTTATCTGAAAATTTAGGAACCAACAAACCATAAATTTTCTCATGTATTTTTTCTCAGTACCCTTCTACATGCTGATTGACAAAGCATGTGGTTTGATTACTTATGATGGTGTATCAAGATCATTCTTGAAACTCTGATTGAACAGACCTAACTCCTCCTAAGCACCTAAAATTCATTTTAGACACTTACTTTAAACACTTGTCTATAGTGTATTTTGAATTAAAACGTGTGACAGAATATTCCTGTTAAATACAGAAAACTACGGTCTGTATCATATATAAGGCAGAAATCCAGTTTGAAGAAGAAAGCCCTAATGCCTGTTTTGTCCTCTTCTAAAATGGAGCTTAAGATTTGTGTAATACCTGACACATTGCAACCATCAACAGGGAAATTTAATTTAAAATGAGCTGTGGGCTGGTCATGATGACATGCTTTTGTTTGGCATCATCTCAGACAAAAATGATGCAGGCTTTGCTTCGTATGCATAACCTGGAAGCCTGAAATATTGAAGCTTAGGACTTTACCACTGGTGGTCTAGGAAGTTGCTGAAGACCCGAAAAATGAAGTGATTGAATGTGTTAATAATGTTCTTCCATGGTGACTGGAAAACATACTGAGTGAATGCTGGCAACTTTGGATACCCAGAAGATTCAGCGGCCAATGTTTCTTTGAAATGTTGGATGGCTTGCTGTGTTTGCTTTAGATCAACTGTTGAGAGCAGATATGTTGCTTCCTTTCTTGAACTTCTGCTGTTATGAGAATTAGGAAGGCTTTCAGCAAAGTGGCTTCTTCAACACTAATCTAGCCCAACCTCTGGTTGAATCCTACAGATTTGCTGTGTCGTCTTCATGGGGCTTGGTTAGATGAAGATTTTGGGGTCTTTTGGAAGGCATTCTGTACAGATTTCTTCTGGATCAGTGTGCATTTCTGGAGCTAAGTTTAGGGGGGCAGGGTGGTGCTGTACAGCCTTCTGTTTGCCAGATGGCTCTTTCCCCCTTTATTAGATTTATCTGCTTAGCACATAGTGAAATGGGAATGTGAAGTCCTATCTTGCAAAAAAAATTTTTTTACCCAATGTAGATGCTGATTGGGCATATTTTGAAACATGTAAGTCTGATAATATACCAATATATCATCCGCAAATCCAACTGTACTGGGGAAGCTGTGTATTTAAATCCTGTTAAAAGATCATGTTTAATATCTGATTAAATAATATTGATGTGAGTGGTAGTCTGATCCAGGAAATTAGAAATCCTTAGCATTGTCTGTTAACATGTTTACATAAGAGATGTTTACCACGATTCACCTTGCTCCAGAGGTGAAAAATTGCTTTTATAAAGCAGAGCTGCTTGCATTAATGCACCTCTAATCTCCGAATTAGTATTTCAACAATACTGCTGCTGTAGGTGATCTCTTAGAAAGACTCAGAAGTCCCTGATGCACTCTTTGTTGCTTCCTTCATTTTCCTGGATCAAAGAAATGTCCTTGAGTCTCATTTATTGGTCTTTGACAAAACCAAATAGTGTGGAAAGAAAAAGGTAATTTAAAAAGAGATGTAGCTCCTTTTAAGCAATATATATATTTGCAATTTAAATCCCTCCTGCTTTATGTCCTGTTTGCCTGCCCCTGTAGGTGTGAGACTTATTCTGTGCCTTCTCTTTGTTGCCTGTGTTTTGCACAGAGGCTTTGAGACCATCCATGTAACCAATATTTATAATTTTGCCACCTTCCAGGGAGAAGAAATGGGTGACAGTTGGCGACACATCCCTTAGGATCTACAAATGGGTGCCAATAACAGAGCCCAAAGTAGATGACGTAAGTATTTCATGATACCCCATTAGTATGAAAGTTTAGAGAAAATGATTATTTTGCCATCGTAAATAACAGTGTGTTTGAATGTTAAACATCCTTTCCTAAAACCTTTGTCTTGGCAGTGAGCCCTCAGTTCTCTTGATAGCAAAGGCCTTAGGAAAAGATTTCCTCTCCCCTTGTGGGAAGCCACACTTTTCAGCTCACCCTCAGCCTCTTGGGAATTGCCGATTACATCATATGAAAGAGTTCAGCAACACCTGTCTTTACAGTTACCTTAGAACAGTAAACATTACCGTGCACCTAGGCGCAGCTGTTGTGCTTTCACCCCTCTTGCCTGCAGAGGTGCCCTCAAAGCGGACATCCTTGGGGCCTGTCATTTGGCCATCTGCCTCTGATTTTGATGCCGTTCGCCCAACCCTCCTGCTCCTGTTTCTGAGCTCCCTTTCGATCGTCTGGGTTTTCTTTCCGCTCAGCAGGCTCGGTATATTGAGAGCGCGGTGCAGCTGGCACTTTCTCCTAGGAGACCAATTACGTCACCTTCTAATTGAAAGTGCTGCATCCTTTTTCATCCGTGGTTTCTCTCCCTCCCCCCCCCCCCCCCCCACAACGGATGCTATTGTCTTTCTCTGCTGCCTTATCTTTTGTAATGGTGCTGGGGGTGGGTGGGCAGAAGCTGGCCCTTACGCATCCAGCAAGGTTTGTGGTTCTTTGTTGACCCAGTTACTATCACGACTAGCGTGGATATGAATAAGTGGTATTAAGACCAGTGGACAAGACTTAACACAAAGTCAGCCCATCCTTCAGATTGTATCGCCATGTATAAAAACTTGCGAATGTCGTAAAATGAAGATGTAGAAAGAAACATAAGTAGGAGGGTATTTTTTGAAGCTGTGTAATGATGATACACTTTTTAAAAAAAAAAAAAAAAGTTCCACCTTTCTGTTTCAAATCAAGTTTAAAAAGGCAGACAAAGTAGCCAGCCACAAGGTGGCTTAGACCAGCCCAAGAGTGACAGTTTGGAGGCTCAGACTTCATGGAAAAGGCCTCACTTTCAGTGTAGCCCAAACTTACCGTCTTCCTCTCCCGCCTCTCAGAAAGCCAAGAACAAGAAAAAGGGCAAAGATGAAAAGTGCGGTTCTGAGGTGACGACCCCAGAAAACAGCTCGTCCCCTGGGATGATGGATATGCACGGTGAGTGGGGGCGGGGGGGGACATGACTGCTGATGCCAGCCAGCATGATGGGGACACTAAGCCTGCCTCAGGAGCAATCTTAGGTTTAGCTTTGAAGAGCAGCAACTGACAAGGGGCAGAGTAAAAAGGCACCACTGAGGCCAACAAGTCTGCTGATGATTATGGCACTTTATTTTTCCATAGTGAGGTAATCCAAAGAAGCTGTTTATATAAACTAATAAATAAACATAGACTTTTATTTGGTCTTTTATGTAAATCTGTATCCCTGCTGATTTCATTTTGGGCCCTTTTAAAAATAAAGTTTTCCAAATTTTCATGTCATCTAAGAGGCTGCTTTGAGATCCGGGGTGCCTATGTCCCTGGGAAGCCTCCAGTCTGATAAAGTTGAACCTGAAAAATTAAGATCTTTCTCCCTCCTGAAGCATGTGTTTAACGTTTAAAGTGAATCATTACGTGTTGCCATGGTTACCCTCCGTTGAATCTGTAATTTTCCCACTCTTGGATGTCTCTCTGAGAGGACAAATGGGTGCAGTGGTAGCTTTTCTTAGCCTCGTTTGGCAAGTGCCTGAGTGGATACTGTGCTGTCAGCAGTTGTGCCCTGGACAATTTTCTTATCAGGGCTAACCTGTTGGACTTCAGCTTCTGTAATCAAGCACTCTGGGCACTGAATGGCCCCGCATTTCTCCTTTAGTCACGCAAATTTGTGAAAGGCAGATTTGCGTGGCGCTCAGCCGGGTATTTATTTCGGCAAGTGTTGGGTTGAAACCTCATCCCCTGGATTTCGGTGCGTGCTGATCTTCAGCCTCTTTCCCTGAGCCAATTGCTCTTCTGTTTGCAGACGACAATAGCAACCAGAGCTCTATAGCTGATGCTTCCCCCATAAAGCAGGAGAACAGCAGCAACTCGAGTCCTGTGCCCGAGCAAAACTCAGCAGGGCAGGTAGACGGTCCTGGCTCCAAGTCGGACGATACTCCGACGGATGCAAAAGAAGAAGCTGGCTCAGAAGGTAACGATGGGGCTCCTGGGACTGTTTTCCTACAAAGAGGTTGGTAGACAGGCCGCTCTACGTTTTGTAGATGATCACCTCTTGGTGTTAACTCCCTACCCTTTAAAAGCATCCCTCACCTTCCTCCCACACCGGAAACCGGTTCTCCATTTAATGCCTTCTTTATTCTTAAGAGACAACTGGTCGACCCTTGTGTCCTTCATCAATTGACTCACGGAAATTGCATCTCCTGAGCCACTGGTTGAGATCAAATATTGGTTGTCCCTCTGACAATTACTTAGTTATCAGGTTGAAGAGCAAGCTGGACTTTTAAGGCCGGGAAATTTATTAAAAATGGAGTTTCACAACAGCTCTTTTCTCAACCATGGCAACTTTACCAAGCAGTTTCATTTTCTTTTTCCTCCAAAAAATCTTGAAAGACACAACAGGAACTTTGTCCAGCATACAAATTTGTCATTATTATTGGGACTTTGAATTCTGGATCACAAATTACCAGCTTGAAAAGGAGTTACATTCACACCTTGCATCTCTCCTTCTCCCCACAAATTATTTGTGACACAGAAACACTGTCCAAATGTTTCCAAAGGGTTCTAAATCGCATTGGTTATCTTTCGCATTGTCTAAATTAAAATACTATACCTCCCTCTAGTGGTGGATCAAAAGTCTTTAATCAGCTGAATTCTATATAGTTCTGCTTTTTTTTTTTAAAAAAAAAAATCTGGTTAAGGAAGAAGTTCTGTGAGCATTTATATTAGATGAAAAGTACAGCTTCAGCCTTTCAATTAAAAGTTATTTTAAATTAAGAACCTCTTTTTAAAGTGCTTAGCGCTTGCCATTGGTAATTTTTGTTTCTCCCTTGTCCTGTAAAAAAGGAATCTTTAGAATAATAAGTACCTGTAATCTTCAAGAACGAAGCAAAAGGGTCCGTCTTCAGAACTGCAGTGGCAATAAAACTCCTCAACCAAGTTATCTTTAATGCCTCTTCAATCCGGTGATAGAAGAAGCAAATTGAAAGCACCAGAAGGTCGAACGATTTGAGAGCTGTTTTCTTGACATTTTTTCCCCCAGATGCATCTGATGAACAGAATTCACAGTCTTCAATGGAGAATTCCATCAATAGTTCAGAGAAAGTTGAAACAGAGCCTTCAGCGGAAAATGACACAACCACAGAGACATCTAAAAACTCTCAGGTAATGAAAAAGAAAATCCCTCCTCGTTTTTATCCTGCTTTTCTGCGTCTCTTGTTTCAAAGTTAAACTGTAATTCTAAATTCATGGAAGCCTGAGACAACCTGGTTTTCCTGACCCACTGATTAAGATCAAATATTTCTTGCCCTTCTGACAATTCCTTAGCTATGAGGATGGCTGGGGAATTCTGGGAGTTGAAGTCCACTCATCTTAAAAGTAGCCAAGGTTGGGAAACACTGGATTAGAGCATGCTCTATTTCCTAATATTGAGTGTTAAAAAAAAAACTGGAAAGATTAGTTAGGGCAGTCATCTGGGAGAGAACCAATTTTGATCAGTTAGTTTTCTTCATTTTAAAATTCTAATAAGAAAGAAATGAAAATTGGATTAAGAATATAGGGATGAAGTATTTTTCTTTTCTTTCAAATCTTTAAACATGGTACTAGCAACTGTAGTACAAGAAATGTATAACCCTTTGGATTGTTCATAGCCGACGTGGAGTGTAAGTTTCAAGGATGTTCTTTTGATACACTTTGCAAGATTTCTTTAAATACCCATTGTGATATAGGGAAAAGCCACACAAATAGCTGTGCACAATGATCTTCCCATGTGATATTGTACAGAAATAAATCCTGCAATTTGGAAAATTATAAAATTAATTGTGGTCACACCCTTTTAATAGTGGTGTTATTTATTTATTTTTGTCCTGAAATACAAAAAATAATTCGGTTGATTTTATTCGTTGCTAATGCTAATACTCCCCCCCCCCCTTTCTCTCTTTCCCTGCATTAAGGACTCTGAAGGAGTGCCACCTCCTAAAAAGATGAAAGTGGAGGCTCCCTCTCAACAAAATATGGATGAAATATAAACTTTAGATTTTTCCTGGGCGGTTTTTATGTAAAGGTACATCAGTGGGCTAAATTGTCGAACAACCGTACATAAGCATCTTCTCTTGGACAAGGAGGGGACTCCTTTAAACTTTTCCAAGTTACCAGGCGAAAATCCAAGGAAAACCAAGCAAACGTTTAATCTCTTCAGACACTGAAAACTTTTTTTTTCCCCCTGTGAAGCAAAACTGTTGAGCATTTAAGTTACTGTCTCTGAAATGGTTAGAGTAAACACTCAGGAGGGGTCGACGCACTGTTTCTAATGTCAGAATTACAATTATGCTGCTGATGTATTTTTTTTCCCCATTCTCTATTTAACATTATAAGATATTTAAGAATGGTACAGGTCAGGTATTCTCTTCACATGTGAAGTTCACTGTTCTGATGTGATGTCTCTTGTTTTGGGGTTTGGTTTTTTTTTTTTTTTTTGTGTGTGTGTGTGTGTGTGCCTTGTGTCCCAAAATGGAAAACAAAAGCAAAGCAAGGCTAATTTTGCAATTTCTCCTTTGCAAAGTGGCCTGTTTGTACAATGCCATACAAAATGTGTTCCGTTGTTGTTTTTTTAAAACAAATATTCTGGTGCTTACTGTCCTGATAAGAGATAACGAGAGAAATTAAGAAGCCATTTTCACAGTTGGAGGACGGGTGGATCCTCACCAATGATGCTTGATTTTCCTGTACCTCCAGGGCTCACTTCCTTTTTTGAATGCAACGTTTCAAGGATAAATTTTCTTAAATAAGTAAACCTCTCCTGCACGCTATCTTGTGTGCCTCCCAAACTTTCTTGCTTTACAGACTTTTCGTAGTGGAATAATGCGTCTACAAGGCTGCCCGATGTAGCCTTCTTAAAATTGGTCGACTGGTTTCTGATGTTCACTTAAATTAGGGTTTATTTGGTTACAAAGGCAAATTATGCGTTTTAAGTGCTTGAATCCTTCTTGTGGCTTCGTTACAAATGGATGCACGCTGAATGGCAGGTGCAAATTTTGAATGGATCTATTCTCCAATCATTTTTAAAGATTGAACTGGATTTCACTGTTTTGTTCTTTCACGGGATGTTGACCGTTGTCCAACATTTGTGTACTTGAGGCTCCTTTGTCTCAGGATCTGCTTGTAAATACGGCTTTGTGATTTTCGGAATCTCTCGTTCAAGCAGCTGTGTCCCCTGCACACTTGACTTGGCCACAGAAGCTGGTTTAATAGCAGCTGAAAAGGGCAGAACGACTTATACATTTGGGGTGCTTTTATGCCAGTTACCGGGGGGCAAAAATCTTGTGAAATCAACGGATCTCCAGTCGCAGCAGATTTGCACTTTGTCATTTTCCAATGGGGCTACGTTGCGGCTGGACTTGCTTGATCACCCACAGTGCTTTGCACACTTAAGGCCTGGATAAGCGCCTACAGCATCTTTGGGTAAGTGGGAATATTCTCTGCCTGTAGGAGAAATGCTTACAAAAAGTAAAAGGCGGCAAATGAGAACAAATGACTTTCGTCAGGGCAACTATCAAACAGTTACGCCTAGCTTGCTATGAAATTAGTGGGTGGCTTTTTTTAAAATAAGCTTCCAATCCAGACACTTCCCTTAATAATTGCTCGTTTGAAAAATACGTATTTCTGATTTCTCCGACGGTGAAAATGGCTTTAGTTTTGACTACTGTATTGCATTTGCAAATTATGAAGAAGAAAAAAAAGGGTTGGGCGAAGTGAAGGTGTCAATTCTGGCCTTCCATCAAATGTTTGTAGAGGCGTTAACTGCATAGAAAGAGGCCATGCATTCAAATTTGGGGAGATCTTCTCATTTTTGTGTTGAAATAAATATTTGCATCTCATCAAAATTAAATTTTTCTTGCAAATTATTCATGGCAGCAGTGTGCTCCTTAGAAAGTCTCTTTGTGCCTGGATCACAGATTCATTAACTATCCGAAAGAGACATTATTATTTGCACAATATACAGAATTAAATGCTAAAGTGATACGTTTTTTTTCCCCCTTTTCTCTCATTGGTGTATCTGCTTCAGACATGGCGATGACTGGTATGGACATGACATCCATGTTTAACCAGGGTTTGTGGGGGTTTTCTTGGGGGGACATGTCAACTGATCTATGAAATAGACAAATATATTTTTTTGAACTTAAAAGAAAAAAATATTAAAAAATTATGTAGCTTTTAACTGATCCCTCCAACGGTCCATGGCTCTGAAACCACCCTGTCCAATAGGCGCTGTCTATAGAAGCTTCGATTTTTGTGGTTGTGCTTTGATGATGTTTTTTTTTTTTTTTACAGTTTCCAAGGAAGCGAATAGGCTTTTTTTAAATTTCAAAGCTGAATCCTGTACTTAAAATGGATAAAGGATATATAGATATATAGATATAAGAATAGCACTAAAATACCTCAACTCTTTCATTTGGTAGAAAAGATCTATTGGCATTGCTGACATTTTGATAAGCTTAGTGATAAAACTGGCTCCTTGATCTCTCCCCTGGCCCATTGCGTCTGATTTTCCATGAACTTTAGATGGAATTCTGCAGCAGGGGGAAAAAAAATGCTCAGGAGTTGAACTTTGAAAGCAAAGCGCTCATTTTGTCTTTCCAAGGCTCAGAAAAAAGAAAAAAAAATCAACCCAAACCCAGAGCCCTCAATTGGGCGATTTGAATCTCCACCCCCAACACAGGCAGCCGGGCGGAGGCTGAGAGAATTGAGAAAATTGTACGAATTATTCCTGTTACTGTCTGTGCGTGCACCATTGGAACAGCTGGGGAGGGAAGGGGCGGGGTGGGGTGGGGATGATAACATAGACCAGATATGCAGAATTGTACAATGGGGTCTAGGTTGTGCTTTGTGTTTTATTTCGAAGTGCCTAATAAGACAAATAGGCCCTTCGGTAGCGCAGCTTCTTAACGCTTTGAACCCCTTGGAAGGTTTAGCGTTGAGAACCAGCTGTTCGGGGGGGGCACGGGGGGGGGCGGGTTGGGAGGGTCTCCCGTCTCTTCAGACCCGGTCCCAGATCCAGCTTCTGGGTCTGCCTTTATTGGGACGCAGTTCCAGCAGCTGGTTTTGATTGCGTATCCTAAGTGGTGGGAAATAATTGAGATTTGGCATCACAGTGACTGGGAATTCTCATGTGAACAGCAGAGTCCTCCGCCAGGCCTGCGGAGTGTGTGTGTGTGTGTGTGTGTGAAATTGTGCAGCCCCCACCGTATCCCAACATTAGTCAGAAACATAGCTTCCTAGCTTATATTCTGGTCATTTGTCCCTCGAAAAGCAGGTAGACATAATACTAGCAAGGTAAATGAACTGACTTGGATTCTAGATGGAAGCTATACGAGCAGGCAGGTTGTTGTTTTTATATATACATACTGTTCGTTTCTGAAATTCGTAACATTTTGGGGAAGAATTGTTAAAACATTCCAAAGGAAAAAAAAAAAGTGCGGGCACTTTAAGAACAACGAATAACCAGGCAGCCTAAGAATTGCTGGCTTGATGGGTGGGTGGGAGATGGGTGCCACAAGGGGCTAGCTTCCTTTCCCCCAAAACATGGATATTTCTTCATACAGTATCTCAAGGCCCGCTAGCAAGGTGTAAAGAATTTTGTGGGTTTCATTTTTTTCCTCCTTTTTCATTTTTTTTAAACACCTAATCGTTTTCCCTACCCCCACCCCACATCTCCAATGATTTTGTGTGTGTTGTACAGCAATATAATTTTTTTCCACTTATTTATTCCATCGGTAGCTATGGTTTGTACAATGTACAATGATTTCATTTAGAAAAATAAAAAAAACCTTAAACTTCCGACACCACAGCGTGTGACGCTTTTTCATTACGACCGTAGTCGGGTTCGCTTCCGGCATCAAGCTTGGGAAAAAGTGGGCTCCCTTTTGGGGACGGAGTTTCCCCCCCCTCCGTGGGTCAGAGTTTTCTCGTGATCATTTATTTAATTGTGGGGGGGGGGGGGGGGGGGGGGGCTTTCTGCAAAATTTCTGCCCTTGAATAATCGTAAATCCTTTTGTGAGATTGCTCCCAGTGACGATTCCACCGAAATAAGAGTTGTGTGTGAAATATCTTGCTCTGCTTTGCTCTTAAACCTGTAGAATTTTTGGGAGCCTGGGGAGAGGGCCTTTCAGGAGGAGGGTTGCTTGTCTGGAAACCTGGGCAGGGTCCCCTTTTTGCACAGCGGGACTTGAGGCAAAACGGGGAGTGTAGAAAACTTTAGATCAGCACTTCTCCACCTCTGATCTGAGAATCCCTTTGCATTCTTGAGAATGAGGGAGGAGACACCCCCCCCCAAATATGGGTTCTCTCAGTAGGTATTGCATTGGAAATAAAAAAATAGACAAATGTTTAATAAAAATCACTTTTGGGGGGGGGCCTCGCAGAGTCTTGGGTGTCCCCAGGGCCACATTTTGCAAACCGCTGCTTTAGTCAACCTAGAGAACCAGCTAAGATTGAGGGGCTTCACAGCTAAAGGATCCTCCAGAGCGGAAAAGCTTTCACTCGGCAGCCCCCTCCTCAGTTTTCAGGGGGGCCAGGGGGACCCCGAGCTGGGCTGCAGAGAGGTTGAGATATATAAACCTCCGTGGAGTTTGGGGGTCCTTTATTTGCCCAATGGGGGAGGCTGTGCTTGCCCCCCCCAACTGGTCTTTTGGAGTGGGGGGGCTTTGCCTCCAAGTCTGGCCCCTGCAGGGGAGTCTGAAGAGCCCGAAATGGATCCCTTGTGTGGCACTGTGTGTGTGTGGATCTGTCTTTGTGTCTGTGTGTGTTTGTGTTTTGTATCTATCTCACTGTGTCTATGTGTATTTCTATCTGTGTGTTTTGTGTATCTGTATATTTCTGTGTCTGTGTGTGAGTTTGTGTATGTTTTTGTGTCTATGTGTGTTTTGTGTCTGTATATCTGTTTTGTATCTATCTCTGCTTGTGCCTGTATTTCTGTCTGTCTGTATTTGTGTCTCTATTTCTGTCTGTTTTGTGTATCTGTGTGTGTGTTTATCTCTGTCTCTGCGTGTTTGTGTATGTTTGTGCCTCTGTGTATATCTGTCTTTTGCATCTGTGTGTGTGTGTGTATGTTATTCAGCTTTGTTCGGGTATTTCCCCACGTCATTGTAGTTGTGCTTTTAAAGTTGTAGCAACGTTTCGGCAGAATCTCATCTGCCATCCTGAGGCTTCTGTATTGTGTCCGTCTGTGAGTCAGACTTTTACAGTTGTTTTTGTAAACACACAGATATCTCTGCGTGTTTTGTGTCTGTGCGTATTTCTACCTGTGTGTGTGTCTGTTTGGTGTATCTGTGTCTGTGCGTCTTTTGTGTCTATCTCGGGGGGGTGGTGTCTGTGTCTGTGCGCTCGTGCCCCTTTCTGTCTGTCCGTGCGGGGTTGCGCGCATCCTCCCGAGGGGCTCAGGATGCGTGGCATGGGCGAGTGGGCGGGGCCGAAGGGGGGCGGGGCGGGGCGGGAAGACGTCCGGGGGCGGGGCGCGGGGGCCCAGGCCCCGCCCACCCGCGAGGGCAGCAGCGGCGGCGGACGAGGGGGGCGGCTGAGAGGGGCGGCGATGGCCTCCGGCGTGTCTCTTCGGGCCGGGCCGGCGGCTCCCCTTCCCCGGCGACCCGCGGCGCCCCGGCCGTCCTCGCCCTCCTCGTCGTCGTCGGGCGGCAGCGAGGAGGACGAGGCGGCGGCGGCGGGGGGCCGGGCGGCGTCGGGCGGGGGCCGCTCCTGCTGGGGCTCCCGGGGCGCCCAGATCATCCACTCGGGCCACTTCATGGTCTCGTCGCCTCACAGCGAGCACCCGCCCAAGAAGGGCTACGACTTCGACACCGTCAACGAGCAGACCTGCCAGACCTACCGCTTCGGCGCCTGGGCCCGCCGGGAGGCCGCGGCCGGGGGGGCGGCGGGAGGGGCCCGGGACGGCCGCCTCAGCATCGACGCCTCGCTCACCAAGCTCTTCGAGTGCATGAGCCTGGCCTACAGGTGGGGAGGGGGCGCTTTGGGGGGAGGTCAGGCGGGCCGGGGGGGCCCGGGGGGGGGGGGGGGGGCAGGAGGGGCTGGTTAGGGAGGGGGCAGATCTCACAGAGAGAGGCAGGGGGATGAGGGGCTTTGGAGGACCAAGAGGTGAGGAGGGGTGGATTTGGGGAGGGGGAGAGAGGCAGGAGGGAGGGGACAGAGGGCAGGGGGGCAGGGAGAACCCCGGGAGGGGGATGAGGGGCTTTGGAGTAGCAACAGCTGGTTGGTGGTGGGGGGAGGTGAGACAGGAGGGGCTGGTTAGGGAGGGGACAGATCACACACAGAGAAGGGGATTCTGTGAGGGGGTTGGGGGGAGCAAGAGGTGAGGGGGGGGGGATTTGGGGAGGGGGAGGCGAGGCAGGAGGCAGGGGACAGAGAGCACACAGGCAAGGGGGATCCTGGGAGGGGGCCCTTTGGAGCAGGAAGGGAGGGCTGAGGGATTTGGGGAGGGGGGTGAGGGTGTCCGGGGAACAGGAGGGGACAAGGGGTAAAAGGAGTCCCTGGGGAGGGGGGGGGCTGCAAAAGGCCGAGGGGTCAGAACTGGGCAGCAGCTGCTGGGATCTAGCAAAGAAAGTAGCTGGGAATATTGGGGCTCCTTGGAGGAGAGCCACCCGCAGATAAATCGGTAAAAACAACAACACCCTTTCTAGCCCAGATTGAGGGGCAGCCCCCCCTCCCCCCAATAATTATGGGATAGTAGAACTCTGCCACGGTGAGCCAGTGCCAGCCGTTTTCTGAGTGCCCCAAATGAGGCCATGTGACACAGGTGTGTGCAGCTGTCAGAACTGGGTCATAAGTAGCTTTGGAGGGGGGGTGTTTTGTTGTAACTTTGAACAGTCGCTAAGCGAGGACTACTTGCATTGCTGAAACAAAGAACAGGACTTGAAACTGGCACCTGGTGGCTCTTTTTCCCCTTTTGCGGGGTTCGTTTTTAACATTTCTGGTTTTTTGTTGCTTTTAAACTTCTTTCTTTTCCTTCTGCCTTGGGAGTTGCCTGTTTACTAGCTTGTTGTTTAAGGACGGGCTTATATTTTAAGTTGAGTTTACAATCATTCCAAACAAAGCATTGGCACGCGCTAAAAAACAACAACCACCCCTCTTTGCATTATAATCGTACCTGTAAAATGCAAGGCAACGATTACAAACCGAAGTCTTGTTTTCTTTTTATTAAAATATATATATATATATGGGGCTGGATCTGTGGTTACCACAAGGGCTGCCTGGAGTCATGTCTGTTTTCACCCAGTCACAGCTGTTAAGTACAGTTTTCCGCTCTGGTTTGAAGCGGATCCCATATTAGGAAGTGCAATTCTCAGAACGGACTTTAAAAGCGTATTATTTATAAGGTGGGATTTATCCCCAGAGGAGCGGTTTGGCAAGGAACATTTTATGCTTCAGCGATTTCTTTGCAGACTGGCTTGCTTTTGTGAGTCGGGGTGAGAAAATAGGATGAAAGCATCGTTGGAGGGAGAAGTTTGCTGGATCAGACCCAGAAGCCAGTTTGGGGTTTGTTCCTCCTGTGGCTACTGAGAACAAATATAGTCCTTTTACTTACAGCAGTTTATATAGCAGCGGTCCCCAAACTTGGCCACTTTAAGACATGTGGACTTCAACTCCCAGAATTCCTCAGCTAGCATAGCTCCAGCAACCATAGAGTCTGTTCTCCAGAGAGGCCAGTCCCTGGGGAATTCTGGGAGTTGAAGTCCAACAAGTCTTAAAGTGGCCAAGTTGGGAACCCCTGGCTTAAAGCATTAGTTCAACCAACCCACCGAGCTCCAGCAACCATAGAGTCTGTTCTCTAGAGAGGCCAGACCCTGGGGAATTCTGGGAGTTGAAGTCCACAAGTCTTAAAAGTTGCCAAGTTTGGGGACCCCTGGTTTATAGCAAAATAGATGCCCTTAAATGGCAGTCACAGGGGACACTGAGAACGGTTGTGAATGCATGTCGGTTGCTGAGTGTTAAAAAACGTGATTTTGGGGGGGCTCTGGGTGAGGTAAGCAACCATCAGAAGGTTGAATCTGGAGCGCCAAGGAGTTCCGTCGTAACTTTGCCCGGCCGCTGAGCGAACAGTCGTAAGTCAAGGACTCCCTCTATTCTGGATGTTATTCATGCTTTGGTAAAGAAGTGGTTTTCCTTGGATGTAGACCGTGTTCCTAAAAAGCTGCTTTGTCAACTGAAATTAGCCTGTTTGTTCCCCTGCTCTAAATCACCTTCCCAAGCCTCTCCCTCCCTCCCTCCCTCTCTCTCTTCCTGCTGATAGGATAGTCCTGTTTTATGACTCAACTGCAGCTGGAGTTTCCCCCTTTTAAGAGCCGCCCCGAACAAATGGTTATTACAGGGAGGTGGAAAGTTTTCCCTCTTTGACACATGAATCACCGCCCGGTGGGGAGGTTAGGTCGGTTCAGGACAGGTGAAAAAACGCAACACGGGATGTGATTGTAGTTTTTATTTATCTTACATTAAATTTATCTGCTGTCCATCTCTGCTAGAAGCAACTCTAGAGGGGTTCCC